TATATATATATATATATATATATATATATATATATATATATATATATATATATATATATATATGCGCGTATCTGTGTAAAGTATGTAATATATGGCCCGGGACAACTTTTTTTTTTTTGCATCTGGCCCTCGGCCCAAAAAAGTTTGGCACCCCTGGTCTAGGGGGTCGAATCGAGATCGCGATCTTTTAACGATTAATTGTGCAGCTGTGGCGTGCGGTATGAAATTCTGATAAAACAACTCTTTTCCAGTAGTTCATACTCGCAAACAATATCTTGTTTGTCACGGGGGCATGCATGAAATTTTCTCGAATGAAAGTGAAAGTGCCAAACTGCAGCTAAAGTGGACAAATTAAGAATATAACACTCAAAATTACAAGAAACTCTGGAGGAAATGTGGACAGTGTGGTGATGCAAAGACACTAATCGCAATATGAGCTATAACATTTAAAACAGGATCATGAAAGGAACATTCAAAAAGCAACTCATGTAAACGTCTCAATTTTGTTATTGTCTTAAATAGAATAAGGTAAATAATTTGATTACTGATGTCCATGTAAACGTAATCAATGACATTTACAAAAAAAGTAGCAAGTAGCATTTTTTTGGCACCAGCCATTTGCATTTCTTTCCCATTTGTCATCTGTATCGACTTGTATCCATTGCTTCCTTTCTTCCATATTTATTAATTTATTTTATTAAACAAACAAAATAGACACTGTTAATGGCCGTCTGCTCTTTGTGTGACCAGAGCAGGAGTTTGATAAACATTGCTGGCAATAAGTCAGACTTCACTCTAAAAATAATTTAATGAATTTGTAAAGACACAAACGTGACCTAAATACTAAAAAAAAAAAAAAAAAAAATGAATCTAGGGTGCAGGAGCTAATATGTGACTGCAAGGAATAAAGGGCCCTCAAGACATCAACAGCAAAATCATCAACACCTCTGACACACCCATGCACACACACATACACACACACACCTCCATTGGCTTCCAACTGTCATATGTGCAGCACATCCGGTGTGTGAGTTCCTTGACTGTTCAATCAATTGCATAATATTTTTATTTTTTCAAATATGTTTAATATTATTTCAACATATAATTACTGAAAAGGCTTTTGTAGCATTACAGTGTTAACTAAAGCAGACTGAGCATTAAGTTTGCATAACAAACTAACTCTATTTTAGCTAACCCCTGTGCATCAATGATAATTTATAAATAAGCAAGGGAGAAGAGAGTGCTTGGATTGGTTATTCAGCAACGAATCATAGCGCGAGAACAAATCTGATTTCAAGTCAAGAAGGAACACAAAGAGGCCAGCTGTGATTTCATTATATTTATCAAACAGTTGCAGACAATCTTTATTGTCAGATTAACAGTTTGCAGGAATGAACCTCCCTGTGGTGAGGACAGTTACTGTGACACTGGTACTGGACGCTGCTTTGTCTGCGAAATCATTAGAACTACAAAAAAAAAAAAAAAATTAAATAAAAATTAAATTAGGGATGCACTGATACCATTTTTTTGGAACTGATCCGATCTCGATACCAAAAGTCTAAGTAACGATCGATACCAATCCGATTCCGATACTGTGCCATTTTTTTTTCCCTACCAAGTAGGGATGCTTAAAATAACCGATTAACTGTTAACCGAAAGGGTGCATTTGTACCCGCTTAATGGTATCAGTTAAACGGTTAAATATTGTTACCTCAGTCGCATCTTTTCATTCTTTAATCAAATGAGAGCAGAGGCAGGGTTTTCTTTGAGCTCATTCAGTCATTTCCTATAGTGACATAAAAAAAGAGCACAGCACTCCTTTTTTTCAAGGCAGTGCGGTGCGCCTCGCATTTTTGAAATGGAAAAGCTCGTGCAGTAACAGTAATGTGCAATCACACGGCATTCAGATGTATTTAGTCTCAGAAAAAAATGACAGAAGGATATTTCTGGTCACAGTTTGACAGAAGAGTTGACAAACCAGCGCTTATGCTGATCGCCTCTGTGCTGCCTGGAGCCGCGTCATAAATAGGTAAGGCAAGGCAAGTTTATTTATATAGCACATTTCACACACAGTGGCAATTCAAAGTGCTTTACATAAACACGAATTAAAGAAACAAGTAAAATAAAAATAAAAACGAATAATAAAAATGTGTAAGAAACAAAAACAGGTAAAATGTGATATAAAAGAATGAAGAAGAAGAGAAAAACATGTCGGACGCAGCACAGTGCTCATTCAGTAAAGGCACAGCTAAACAGATGTGTTTTCAGTCTTGATTTGAATGTGCCTAATGTTGGAGCACATCTGATCATTTCTGGAAGCTGATTCCAGCAGTGAGGGGCATAGTGGCTTAAGGCAGATTTACCCTGCTTTGACTGAACTCTAACTTCTAGTTTATATGATCCTAAAGATCTGAGTGATCTGTTGGGTTTGTATTTAGTGAGCATATCTGTAATGTGTTTAGGTCCTAGGCCATTTAGTGATTTATAGACCAGTAATAATACTTTAAAATCTATTCTGAATGTAACTGGCAGCCAGTGTAAAGACCTGAGGACAGGTGTGATGTGCTCTGATTTTCTGGTTCTGGTCAGAATTCTGGCTGCAGCGTTCTGGATGAGCTGCAACTGTCTGACTGTCTTTTTAGGAAGACCAGTGAGGAGACCATTACAGTAATCCACCCTGCTGCTGATAAAAGCATGAACAAGTTTTTCTAAATCTTCACTAGAAACAAAGCATCTGATTCTTGCAATGTTTTTGAGATGATAGTATGCTGATTTACTGACTGCTTTGACATGACTGTTGAAACTCAGATCTGACTCCAGAGTCACTCCAAGATTCTTGACCTTATTTTTTGTCGTTTGACCTTTAGAGCCAAGGTACGCATTCACCTTGAGAACCTCATCTCTGTTCCCAAATGCAATTACTTCAGTTTTCTCTTTGTTTAACTTTGTAAGGCAGAGGGCGTCAATGGGGCTGTAGTCATTAGGCAGTAAGGCTAGGTAGATCTGAGTGTCATCAGCATAGCTGTGGTAGGAGATTTGGTTCTTTCTCATTATTTGGCTCAGGGGGAGCATGTAAAGGTTGAACAGGAGAGGTGCCAGAATCGAGCCTTGTGGGACTCCACATGTCATGGGTGTCCACCTCGACCTATGGTCATCTATACTAACATGGTAACCTCTACCAATCCATATTGCGCCCGTCAGTTTCACTTGTATTAATTTAATCAACTACTTTGACCACAATGGGCTTCAAAACTGTTCGCAGCACTTAAAGTGTTCCCTGTGGAAGAAACTCAGTTTGAAGGGTAGGAGAACAAATTCATTGTGACAATAATCTTAAGGAGCGTTGCAAGTTGCCTCTGTGCATGCTGCCTGCACAGTCTGTCCAATGTATTATTGAGGCTTTTCTAAATAAACACTTTAGGTAGGCATACTTTGTGGGTGAAGAGCAGGTGATATGCTAACCCTCTATCTCCTCTATTGCGAATGCGATCTGATCTAACAGACACAGCGCAACATGATGAAACAGCAATGAAATGAACTCCTGCTGCAGGTCAAAATGAATCCATTTGATGCAAAACTAAATGCATTTCTGCACTAATTATTTAAAATAACAGGAACAAATAGTCTTGGAGAAAGTTTTTCCTGTTGTCATGAATGCCACAAGCAGTTTGAATGGAGAATGATTGGCAGGCGCAGCGGCGGGAAGTGCTGAACTAAACATGAATTTAACCATGTGAATATTCATCTGTGCTTCACATTAAACTGTAGAATGGCTTGAGAACATTTAGGATATAGTAGGCATACATGAAAACATTCTAGTGGCTCATAATAGGCTACCGTTATGGCTTATTTGGCTTATAAACACAGAATATAGCGCTCACGCAAGATCAGATTTGCATCGGTATCAGCTGATCGATAACCGATTCAGCAAAAATATGCTTTATTGAACCGATATCCGTTCCAAGTATCGGGATCGGTGCATCCCTAAAAAAAAAATCTAAATTAAATATGTAAATACTACATCTTAATAACACAATTCACCATTTACATACCATTTTGTCTCAAAAGATAAGTCTTTTGTAAGTTTCTAAAAACAAAAATCAATCAACACTTATTCACCAAATGTAAAATCATTACCACCTCTCTTTTAAGCTTATTTTCCTGCTTATATAAATAGCTAGTTTTGTTTATTTAGCTAGTTTCTTACAAATTTAAAGCCCAACAACAAAAATTTGTATAGAAAACAAGTCATTAATAGTACAAATATTTTCCAAGAGTAAAAAATAAAGGGTTGAGTCTGTCTAATTCCATAAAGATATAGAGACAGAGGGTGCTAGTAAAGTATTTTGGTTAAAAGAAAAAAAAAAGTTTTAGTTTGTTTGTTATTTTTTTTACAAAAAAAAAAATGCCTATGCTGATTTTCAGCTTGAAACAGACAAAAAAAAAATGCAGGAAATTTTAGCAACGTGACGTGCAGGACAAAAGAGTAAAAATGGAAAGTGGAGTGGGTAAACTCTTCCTGCTCCATCTGATTATTTGGCGATAAATACGATTTGGATTTTTTTTTTTTATTATTAGAGGTGCAAAATCTAACTTTTAGACATTTAAACAAGCAAAAATAAATCATAGTAATTGCAAAAAGTCAAGATCAAGCACCTAACACATATTACATTCACTTGTTTGTATTTCCAAGAAATGGTTATGATGTTTTTGTAAACATTTACAATAATGTAACCATGGAAATAAATTCAGTAATAATAACCATCAGTAATATTGTTCATTGTAGGTATTTTATTTCTTTTATTAAGATATGAAGTGGGAAACAGCAGAAATAGAGCTTTATGATATTAATGGATTTGTGATTTTCAGGTTCTGATTGTACAGAAGATCTGCAGTGTCTCAGGATTGTGCTGATTGGAAGGACAGGAAATGGAAAGAGTGCAACAGGAAACACCATTCTGGGAAGAGAGGAGTTTCTGAGTCAAGTAAGCATGGATTCAGTGACGACTGTTTGTGAGAAAGGGGTTGGAGAAGTTGATGGTCGATCAGTAGCTGTTGTTGATACTCCAGGACTCTTCGACACAGCACTGCCAAATGAACAAGTGCTGGAAGAAATAGCGAAATGTGTTTCACTGTCAGCTCCTGGACCTCATGTGTTTATCATTGTGTTGAGTTTGGTAAGATTTATACAGGTAGAATCAGACACTGTAAACCTGATCAAGAAGATGTTTGGTCCACAAGCTGCTCAGTTCAGCATCGTTCTGTTCACCAGAGGAGACGATCTTAAAGGTCAGACTATAGAGGATTACGTGAAAAAAGGACGCAATGCAGAACTTCAGAAACTGATCAGAGATTGTGGGAACAGATTCCTGGCTTTCAATAACAATGAAAAACAAGACAAAACTCAAGTGATGAAGCTGTTAAAGATGATAGAAGAGGTGAAGAGTAATAATCAGGGTCGATACTTTACTAACATCATGTTTGAGGAGGCAGAGATGTCCATTAAGAAGAAGATGGTGGAAATCATGAAAGAGAGAGAAAGAGAGATTCAGAAACAGAGAGAAGAGTTACAAGACAAATATGAGATGGAGATGAAGGACATGATGAAGAGACTCGAGGAAGAGAAACAAAGAGCAGAAGAAGAGAGAAGGAAAATGGAGAATCAGCTAAAAGAAAAAGAGGAAAAAGTCAGAAAAGAGTTTGAAGAGAAGGAGAAAACAGAACAGAAGAAACGAGAGATTGAAAACCAGAAACGATTAGAAGAGGAAAAACAGCAGAGAGCTGAATATGATCAGAGAATAGAAGAAATAAAGAGAGAGATCGACAATCAGAGATCACAGTATGAGCAACAGCAGAAAGAAAGAGAAGAAGAAGACAGAAAGAGAGAAGAGAAATACAGACAAGACCAAGAAAAGATGAGAAATGAACAAGAGAGAATTATAGCAGAATTAAAAAAGAAACAAAAAGAAGAAACAAAAATGAGGGATTTAGAGAAGAAAAGAAGAAATGAAGAAGAAGAGAAGGAAAGACAGAGATGGGAAAGAAAAATAAAAGAAGCTGAAAATGAGAGAAAAGAGATTCTGGAGGAAATTAAACGAAAGCAGAGAGAATGGGAGGATGAGAAGAAACGACAGATGAGAGAACGAGAGGAAGAAGAAAGAAAAAGAAAAGAGAAACACGAAGACCAACTGAGAGAAAGACAAGAAGAACTGGAGAAAATGAGAAAGAGATTTGAAGGAGAAAGAGAAGAAGAACGACAGAAGATGGAGGAGGAGAGACTGAAACAGAGAAGAGAAAGAGAAGAAAAGGAGAGAGAATATGAGGAAAAGAGACAGGAGACAAAGAGACATTATGAACGACTGGAACGAGAGAGAAAAGAGGAGTGGGAGAGAAGAAAACATGAAGATGAAGAGAGACGAGAAGGAGAGAGAAGGAGATGGGAGCAAATGATTGAAGATCTGAAACGAAAACAAAAGGAGGAGATCAGGAGAAGAGAAGCAGAAGAGAAAGAAAGACAAAAGAGAGAAGAGAAAGAGAGAGATGAAATGAAAAAGAAACATGAAGAGGAAATAAAACAGATAAAGAAGAAACATGAAGAAGAAGCCAGAAAACAAGCAGAAGAGTCCAATGATTTCAGAGAGAGAAAAGAGCAGCACATTCAGGAGCTTCAGCAGATGCTGGAAGAACGTCAGAAACAGCAGGAGTTCCTGGAGAAACTTTACCAACACTTTAAAGATGAGAAAAGTGAAGAAGTGAAAGAACTGAAGGCTGAGATTGAAGATTTAAAAAATAGAGGGTGTACGCTTTTGTAAGTGTTACGCCCTCGAGGCGAAACAAGTAAAAAAATTGAGGGGTAAGCCAAGTCACGTTACAAAAGTTTTATTTAAGCCCACTGTGATCAAACATTAGGCAAAAACGCCCCGCCAACTCGCACGCTGCTGGTCTCCGTCCAACTCTTAGCCGGAAGAATCAGACTCCCAAACAGTGGCAGGACGCTGATAAAAGAGCGCTCACTTAGACTCGGGTGTTCCCCATCCACCTGATTATGCCCCGCAATGTTACAGCGCATCTGTAGAGGGAGCAAAACAGACACACAGACAGACACGGCAGACAAATGACAGCGCAGCAGGCGTCACAGTAAGCAATCATGTTTATTATGAAGCCAATCATACATTAGGCTTATTTTTGTTATCTTCAGATTAGCTTTGGTTTTCAATCAGGGTGTCTTCCGTCCAATCCATATCCGTTTTCAAACAAAAAAGGAAAATGAAGAAAACGGTCATTTTTTTCGTTTTTTATTTGCTCACAAGAAACGAAAAAACAAGATTTTGGCTCGATTTTCATTTTTTTAATTTAGGTTAGGAAAATGGATAAACGACTTCAAAATTCATTATACACATGTAGGCGGTGCTGTACGCCAACTTTGCTTTGATTGGTTAACCAAATCTGAGCTTGTGACTTGTAGCCCTCAAAATAAGAGCCCTCTGTGGACCAGCACCCAGGCTTTTATCTATTATAATTATTTAATTATATATATAAAATAAGTTTACATATTGTGTTATTTGTTCAGTGAGCAGGCTTACATCAATGACTACATTTTTTGACGCACCCAATGTAAATCTATAAAGTATAAAAATATTATAGTTATTGCACATTCATCTTATTTTTCAGTAGATATGTAAATGATGTATTTTACAAACTGATCATCAATAAGGACTAAGCTATTAATAACTGTAATTCTCCAAATGATAAAGGCTTGATTAAAGTCCTGCCGTTTTAAAGATATTCTACGATTTAAGCAGAATTAGGGTAAAGAGAACTTAATTCAGAATGCGTGAATTTCTGTGCGCATCACGCGCAATATATTTATGTGCAATATGGAACTGGGCACGCTATATAAAATAGATGTATAAAATATTAAATAGATTATAAACCTTACCATTTGGTGGGTGAGTGCATATTCAGTGCTTCTGAATAGCTGTATTTACATTTCGTCTGGTGCAAATAGCCAAATTGCCTATCACTGTGTATCTCATCACATAGTGTGTTGTTAGGACACAAGGTTACAATGTCACCTGCTCATTTAATGTTTACGCTCCTAATAGTTATCTAATTTGCTAATTAATAACCTCGTGGAACTGAATCTCTCATTTCAGTGTCTGCTTCTGTCCACCGGAGGTCGCATTTGGTCACGGATGCATGCTTTCAGAGCCTTTCTGAGTGAATAAAATACGCTGTTATTCACAAAGGCAACTTGGAGTGCTGAATATAATTGGCTAAACTGGCATTGGTCAGGTTGAAAGAACATAAACACAGACAGCTGTTCTGGCACGTGCCGCTCATGTTCAAAGCAGAATATCTGACTTCAGCATTGTTTTCAGATAAACAAGAATGTTCACTGAGCATGTTTCTTAAGTATCTGCAAACATACGATGATGTTTTTATGCTTAAGAAGAGTCAATAACTGACATACAGCACCTTTAAATTGACATTCCCTCTGTTCAGATTGCACAATTTTGTCCTGTTTTCAGTATGATCTGCTTGATGTAGCGATTTGTAAATGACAAATTGGCAATGAGATGCAAGATTTAATCGTTATTTTTCATGTAGTGTCATATTGCAGAAAGTCTAGCATGTTTAATTTTCGATGGGTTCCTTGTGCTTTTAAAATAGCTAAATGAAAGCGAGGGGACCGCTGCTTCCATGTAAGTTTTGGCAACTGTACACTTGCTTGTATGATGTATCATCACATGTCTATGTGAGAGGTAATGTCACTGTTATCTGGAATAAATCCTTTTGGATTTTTTTTTTTTTTTTAGATTTAACAGGCAATCCAGAGTGGAGAGCTCTGTATAAACCCTGAAGAAAAATCCAGCTTAAACCAGCCTAGGCTGGTTGGCTGGTTTAAGCTGGATTTTTCAGTAGGGAATCCCCTTTACCAAACAAGTGGGCGATTTGCAGTGGAGAATCTTGCATGGTGCCATAGATGTAAATGCATTTGTATCAATTATAAATCCAGGTAATAGTGATGAAAGTCCTTTTTGTTCTCAACGTGAAACCCTTTATCATGCTTTTGTTATGTAACAGGGCTTAGTTCTTTTTTTTAGGTCTTAAAGGTGCAGTAGGTGATCGTCTTCAGAAACACGTGTTGTTGTGCTGGTTGAAAGTCTCTTCACATTCCAATAGTACTGATTAAAGTAAATGCAATTAAATACTGATTAAAGTAAATGCAATTAAATATTGTCAGACTGTTAAGTAACTCAATTACGACAGGTATCTCAAACTGTCTGTCAACAAATTTAAATGTGAATTTCTGCGCAGCCTCTTTAAGCAGATACATCACATCTACAGCTGACAGGGGGACTTCATCCTGCAAACTCTGCATCAACCTGAACTTCTTTCTGAAAGACCAACGTGGCCATGTATGCATGAAAAGAAAGATTGTATCTGAAAGGGCTTCTGCCAAAAATGCAGAATCAAAACTTCTAAACCCTGATTCAATACCGGAGTTACTTTTTTGCACACTGGAGGGCAATATGACGTTATGAAGTTCAAAACAATGAAGTACTGAAGTATTTCTTTTAAAACTAGTTTAGCCACGCAAAGATTATGTACTGTAAACTGTGTTCTTGTTTATAAATGGGTTTATATGTACGGAGGTGTTGTTCAGCCACTGAAAACATCCAGCAAAAGTTATTTTTTTAAGTTCGTAGAGAACCTTTTACAGCATCTATAATATAGTCGGTTAAATAGACCTGAGCATTCGTTCAGTTGTTCAAGTGTAAAAAGAGCTGAAAACAAGCGATGTACGAGGATCAGCGAGCACAACTGAAAATGAAAAGTCACTTGTTGTCTTGGTAACGTAAACAAAAGTGTAACGTTAAAAGATGAAAGGATGTTTCTGTTTTTAACAGATCTAACCTTTATTCTGATCTGACCTTTATTTAGTTTAATAACAGAACTTCAGTAAATGTGCTCTTCCGCAACCAGCTTTACTGAGCTGAAGTTTGATTTATATTCACACATTTGTTCATTGTTGAACAGTGACAGCCTGTGACCGTTTTGGAGATACATAATTCCTGCACCCTCTGGCCTGTCCACAACTACGCTTGATAAAGTGAGTCTCCAAAGAGTTTTCTAACTGGTGAATGACATGATCTAGTTTTATATATAATCAGTGCTAGTTCACGTGTTCATGACTTAAGGAGGCTTGGCTGCGGACGGCAGTTGAGGGTGGTGAAATTTCTATGCTATTACGTTAATGCTAGCATTTTGGCAGATCACTTACTGCACCTTTAAATAATTTGTTTGTTTTGACGAGACGTTTTCTTTGAAAACTTTCATTTGTGGTTATAAGTATACAAGTAAACGTCATTTTTTTTTGTGTGAGTTATTAATTTTTTTTTGAGTCAAGCAAAAATGGCAATTTTTTCAGCTTGGTGAAATCCAGAATTTTATAGATTTTCAGTATTACAAAGCAATAGGTGATCTCATGTGTTTTGAAAAGATTTGGTCTTACAAAGGCTGTTTTTTTTTTATTTTTGTGTGTAACATTTCATTTTATAATGTCTTTAACAACTGTATTAAAGGCCCGTTCTTCTAAATTCCCTCTCTACCTCTCTCAGGTAACTTGTATTACATTTAAGCTGAACAAAATATTATGTTTTTATCATTTCATATTTTACCATTTTATAGTTATTTTTTTTATTAATTGAATTGTAACCACAGAGAATTATTGTCATTAAATCATCTCATTTTCAAGTATTTGTGAATTACTTTTCATTTAACATCAACACATAATTACTCCATATTGCAATGCAATACAATCACATAATTGCTGTCCCAAATATCTGGTTTTAACTGCCAGCCCTCTTTTCCATTTTTGGTATAAGATTGCAGAAGGATGGTTTGACTAGAAATGCTTTTCACCATCATACTGATGCTTTTTAGTCATTTGACAGAACTACAGTGCCGACCGCGGTAGTTAAATCCCATTTTTACACATGTTGCAATAGTAGATGATCACAGCTGGAGAAATTATGTTGAATATGTGGACTTGCAGGGAAGATGAGAAGTTCAAGTTTTTGCCAGGTCAAGCAGTGGTCATTCACCCAAGCTGAGACATCTTCCTGGCAGTGCGAGATTTTGGTAGCTGCAGTGGGGTCATCTGGATGAATGAAAGATGTGTGTCATCGGCATAACAAGAGAAACCATGTGATTGGATGATGGTTCCTAGTGATGTGGTGTAAATAAAAAATAGTGGGGGATCTGTAGAACAGATCCCTGAGGTACTCCAGTGTCCGGCTGATGAGCTTTGGATACCTCTTCTCTCCAGGCAACCCTGAATCATCTGTCAGTGAGGGAAGATCCAGAGCATCTTCATAAAGATACTCTCAGACATGACTTGATTGCAATTAGGATTTACATACATAGTACATAGACCATTGTGATCGAGAGAGTACTATTTTACTGTTATCCATTTTAATTTTTCAGCTTTAAATTGGCAGAAAGTAATATGTTGAAGCACAGACTG